TTATTTACCTTTCAACGATCCCAAACAGCCCTTAATAGTTTGGAATGTCGGTTTAAAAAATTACCATCCCGACGTCCATGTTGGGGGTCGTGCGAAAAATAAAGTCTTTCTAAAAATATATACTTGCCGAGAAAATGTAAATAAAAAATTCAGGAGGTTCAAATATAATTTATATTGTCTACAAAGAATACAATATGTATGTAAAAAAGAAATGAGATAAATAAAACTCGGGCGTGTTATTTCAGGATGACACCAACGTCGACGTCGGAATGCATTTTTTAACTGATATTCCAAAACCACATACGGCCGTCTGGAACTGTTGGAAGGTAAATAAAGTATCAGAAATAGGAGTAAAATAAATCGTTTATTATCGGATGCTATTTTTAAAGTAGAGGGGAAAGCATTAAATACAAGAAGTAATACCCGAAGCGAGCGACAAAAAAAGCGGCGGCGTAAATCGAAGGTTTTTACAACGCTTGGATCTGTAGCTCTCTGCTTTGTCTGTCCGAATTTTCTCAAGCAGAGAGCTACAATTCTGCGGCTACATAGACCCAAACTCTGATCCAAAATGTTCAATTATATAATGAAAGAGCTGTTTCACTAGATTATAATGCATGTTTTATATTTTGGATCGAGGGTTGGCTCATATTTTAAGTCTTTGTTGAAGGTACTCAAAAACACCCATTTTCTTCAAAATTCAGGAACATTGCAATTTCACAAAGCCTGTTTCTCAATATCTGGACTCTCAGAGGAAACTTTTTTATAGGAAATGAAAGCAGTATTTCTCTACTTTATATTGATGTTTGAAATGGGACATTGGGACTTGGTTAGTTAATTGGTTTATGACCAGGGCCATCTTATAGATAAAGTGAACCTAGCTATTACAGAATAAAGTAACGTCCATAAATATGTTAGTATCTCAATTAATAAAGAATAACTGTGGATGTATTCAAAAATGTTACATTCAATTCCAAACAGTGACAAAATGATTTTTTTTGAAGGCGGACAAGCTTTAAATAATGCAATATATATATATATATATATATATATATATATATATATATATATATATATATATATATATATATATATATATATATATTTTTTTTTTTTTTTTTTTTTTTTTTTTTTTTTTTTTTTTTTTTTTTTTTTCCCCAGTCCAACTGCATTTATGGAATGCAAGTCGCGTAGGTTGTCCTTAGTTGCTAAAAGAATAGCACACGTTGTGTGTTTGGTTTCTTTTGAGACAATTTCCCGAGTAACGACTTGTCTTTGAAATGTTTTGTTTGTTTGTTTGTTTATTTGTTGTTGTCTTTGAAATGAGTAATAACAATCTTAATACATTTGTGATATAAATTTGAAGCCGAATAATTTGTCATATTATGAAAGTTTAAAACTAAATTAAGAATTAAGACCAAATGAATTAAAAGCAAACGTGTATTTTGCTTTGTTAATAGTATCTTCGTAATAGTGTACATTTAAAATGTAAATGGCTCGTATGAAACAAGAAATTATATTGTTAGTATTTCTGGAGGGAGATATCAAGATTGAAACTTTAAAATACTTGAAGGAAATAATAAATGCTCGGAGGATTATAATGGATTCGTGATAAAATATTTATTTATTTATTTGTAAGTACATGATCAAGAGGTTTATTTTCAAAGTTTGTATGCCTTTCGAAATTTACTGGACTATTTTGATAAAATTCATTTTTTAGCAAGAAGTCACAATATGTCCTGTGGAAGGAGTTCAGAGGACGATAATACAAATGTACATCTCATAATACTCTAAACTGAAAAAAAACGAAATTATAATGATACTTCTAAAGGAGCAAGTTTTCATTCCATCATATTATGTATTTATTTTTCATTTAAGCTTAAAATGTTTAGCATTAAGAAAATGTAATTTTTTCGTGGTGAAAATTTTGTTCTTTTATCTAAGATTTATTTCAAATTACTGTTTTATCTGTTTCGATGTTTACTTTCTTCACTTTGCTATTGGTCTATAAGCATACACCGATTCTGTTTCTGAATAAATCGAATGGAGCAAGTCAAAAATGCATTAAAATATTTGATATATTTTGAAATATACATTCAGATTCTGGGAAAAAAATTGCTTTATTTTTTTAATATTTAGAATGACGTAAAATCAAAATCTAAATGGTTCTTCGCATACAGAGAAAAAAGAAAATGAGTCATTTGAATGGAAACTTTTATTATATTATAATATTAGATTGAATAGTAAGACACTTCAGTTTTCCTCCCTTTTTGAATTTTAATTTCTTTAAATCCGTCTCTTTGATACTATTACATTTATATTATATAAACAGATCAATATTTTGTGATGCAGTTAAGAACAGTTCCCTTTTGAATATCAGATTTGCCTATCTGATCATCTTACATCGAGCTTTAGTTGCACCATGACGGGCACATGTAACCTCTTCTGCACAAAACTTTAGACATTCTGTTAGCGAAGATGTGACAGTTGTTCGTAACAGGATTGTAAGGGCCGTACACATTTTCATAACTCCTAGCGCATCGTTGGATACAATACAAACTTAGGTAGCTGTATCCAGCTGGAGATCTTTCGGTCCTCCCTGTACAATGGTCACTTGCACGCCAAGTTCCGATTCTCGCACCTTTAGCTGGGTAGAACAGAAATAAGAATTTATTATTTTTTTAAAATTAATGTTTAATACATTATTTTCACAATCAAATTAGCTTTAGTACTGGAAAAGTAAATTCCTCCACTTGTAACGGTTAGGTTGTGACCTGCTCCAAACGGGTACAATTTATATAGTGCAAAAAGTTGTATTGAAAAGTGTTCCTTGTGTAGATGAAAATTACAAAGTAATAAACTTTTTAGAAGCCGAAGATCGGCAAATATTTTCTTTATAAAAAAAATACAAAATTTTGTGTAAACTTAAATGTATAAGTCCAAAAGGGGCCCTGTCAAAGCAAGAAAAAAACTAATAAATTCAATCTAAAATGCTGAAAAATGCACCATTTGGAGCCATTTAAAAAAAATATCTCGGGGGAGGTCCCCTGAACCCCCAACAGAAGGATAAAGAGTGCATTAAGGTCAAGATCTATAAATGACTTTAGACTAACTTTTTGGTGCTAGAACCATTATGACGTACGTCACAATCAATTTCAACTCCTTATGACAAGACCTTTTCTTGGGTACCAACAATTTTGACCCTTGAACCTTGATCTTGGAGTTAGATCTACTTTTGAAAAACTTTAACATTGGCCATAACTTTTCAACAGTTGGAGCTAGGGTTTCGTATTTCACAGGTGTATTCCTTGGGAAAGGACCTTCCCTTGGGTAACAACAATTTTTACCATTTGACCTTGACCTTTGAATCTGACCTACTTTTGAAAAAACTTTAACCTTGGCCATAGCTTTTGAACGGTTGGAACCAGGGCTTTCATATTTCACAGGTGTATTCTTTGTGAAAAAAAACCCTTCCCTTGAATACCTATAATTTTGAACCTTTGACCTTGACTTTTGAGTCTGACCTACTTTTGAAAAACTTTAACCTTGAGCATAACTTTTAAACATTGTTACTAGGGCTCTCAAATTTTACAGGTGTATTAATTGTGACAAGTCATTCCCTTGGGTACCAACAATTTTGATTTGTTTACCTTTATCTTGGGAGTTTGACTTGCATTTGAGAAACTTTAAGCTTCACCATGAGCTGCCGTGCGAGGGTATTAGTGTTTCACAAACACATCCTGTTTTTACTACTGTTTTGTTACTGACTTTAGCCTCATTGTGACGTCATTTATGCGTGAGTTTCTATGTAAATATTTTTATGTGTGACTATGCACTAGGCATTCAGTTCATAGTTGGACTAGTAGTAAAACACAGGAAATGTAAATATTCACAGATAAAAAGTTAATACTATCATTCACAGAGAATAAAGAAATTTTAATATTGCACGTAGCGACAACGAATTTTAATTTCATTTGAAAATCTGTGAGAGACGTCAATACTTAAGAAAATTCATGAGGGAAAATATAAAAGGATAATAATTGATTATTTATATAGTATCATATATACGTAATTATGTATTGTAAACTAGAGTTTTCCTAAGAACTGCAAATTATTAAAGAGACATCGTGACAAAAAAAATAATAATAATAATAAAATAAAATTAAAATAATAATTTAAAAAACAGGGAAAATGACAAGTTTTGCCTGACATATGTAAATTTTAATTCTTGAAAGTATTAGATTTCAGAAAATAACAGGTTTCAGAACCTAAAAAATCTACTTTTATGGAAAACAATATAATTTTTCTTTGCCCAAAGCGTAATATTACACTATGGGTCAAATAATTTATTACACAAACAAGTGCCTATGTGCTCCAATAAGAAAATATTGTTTCACTTCTTCTTTCTTATTGTACGCGTGCGCAGAAATGTTCAGAGGTATCATGGTCTCAATTCGCAAGAAATGAATGTCTTTAGACCGAGGATTTTGATACAATTGTCACCGGGCTTACAGGTGCAAGGTAGAAACTAATTACTGATAACTTATATTCTGTTTTAGATTGACCTAGGGTAAAATGTTTAAAAATGTGATGAAAAAGGGGAATGAGGTGTTTATACTTTGTAAAATAAAGCAAAAAAAAATTGTATAATTACGTTTATCTTTATCAAGTAAATTCGTGATACATAAAAAAAGCCTGGAAATGAACATTGTTTTTTAAGGTTTGTGATTGCAGTGACCTGTACAAAAACTGAATGGTTTGTATTTCATTTTTGGGGGGGGGGGGGGGAGGGAATGTGATTTACTTGATCAAAATTAATAATAACTTTAATATACATGTAAACAAGAATGAAAAATTGTTCAAACATTTTTGTTGAAAAAAAACTCACATAAAAATTCAAAATATTTCCCTCTGTAGTAGATAAAACGATGGGTATAATCCCACGCCCCTCTTATAGGCGCACTGCGTTTCCCTTTTTCGCTGAGTTTCCCTTTTTTTCCCATCATGCAATTCAGGTCTGTTGTACCAAAGTAATACGCCCTGGCATTGCCTGTAATTTTTTTTGTAAAAAATGAATCTGATACAAAAATTTTAATAAAGTAATTATTAAAATCAAATAAGAAATAAATGATGTCATAACAAACAATATATATATCACAAATATATAGAGGATATTCAATGTTTTGGAATTTATTTCTCGAGTGGGATAGGATTTTTTAAAATATATTTTCACGAGTGCGAAGCACAGTTAAATACTGTAGTATTACACGTCATAGGTAAATGATTGTAAGATTGTAAAAATGGATTTCAACAACATATTTGGAGAAACTTTGGTAGTTATTGTCTCTGTCAGGATGGTTTATTTACTCTCTATCTTATAACAGGCCAGGGAGTATTTCTTACAACATTCTTTGTGAAGGGAAGGAAAATCGAGAGTTTTGACGGACTTCTGATATTTCATCATATTGTGTTACAATATCACTTTAATATTATTTCACACTGTGACTGAATACCACTTTTATTCAATAAATAAATTGCTGTATTTAACTGCTGAAAATGAAATAAAACTAAGAACATGTATTTAATTAATAAATATAGCTGGATTTATTTTTTTTTTCGGGGGGGGGGGGGCACACTGGAGCTTATTTAAGGAAAACTTTGAGCAAGTGTGAACAAGATGTCCTTCACGGCAGATTTTCATTGCAAAGTAGGATACTTTTTTAATGTCGACTTAAAAGCTTGGCGTTATAGCATACATGTATCTGCGGTAGAGGGGAATTTAAAATTAATATCAAATCATGAAGTTAATTTTAAATTTACAAGGTGGAGGTACAAAAAAAATCTACATCATATGTTATCATAATTGTAAGTTTTGTATTTACCACCAAGTACATATGGAAAGTTACTGCATACACGGTGTACATGTATATGAAGTTTTTAGAAATTTTTATTATATTGACAACTGGCAAAAGGAATCTTTGTATTCATATCTTTAATAACCCTTTGTGTTTTTGAAAAGCTTGTACTACATTTTACATACTTTATAAACACAGCTATAAACACAACAGAACACAATAAATTGTTTTCATTATAGACAATAATCATAACTGGCGGTTCACCTACCTCTTCTTGGACACCCTCTGTCGTTTCCGCTATTCAAAAGCCACCAACTTTCAACCGGGAAGAACAATGTACACAAGATCAGAAGATGACAAATCTGAAAAAAAAAAATGCTTTTTTAATTTTTTTAGATATCAAAATCATGACAACTTTTATCTTCATCAAAATGACTTACCAAAAACAATCTCATTTTGTTTGTCTGAAGATCACCAAACCAGATCTTTGTGAATGATCTGAAGCTTATTTTGAATTCTCAAGAATCTTAAATTGAAAGCTATGATTGAGATTATATATGCATTATCAGTCATGAACATACAAGTGCTTTTTTCCTTCTGGAGTACAATTCCTCCAATGAAACTGCACAAAACTCTATTCGGACACATCCCCCAACACCAACCACTTCCAGTGTACCAATGCGTCTTCCTATTAATAATTAGGGGGCTGGCAGTTAATGGAGATAAATAATCTGTCCTCAAAAAGGTTGAAAAGAAATAATCTGTCCTCGACCGGCTAGACAATAAATAATCTATCCTTGACTAGTGCTACTAACCCCCCCCTCCCCCCTCCGTTCGTCCCCGTTTGTTTGTTTGTTTGTTGTTGTTGTTTTTTTTTGCTTGTCAAATTTTTTTCATTGAAGAAGAAAATAAATAATGTGTCCTTGATCATCTTTAAAATAAATAATCTGTCCTTGACTGGCATGAAAATAAATAAATTTGCCAGACACCCCACCCGACCCCCCCCCCTCCTCAGAATCAAATGGCCATCCCCTTAATCGATTCAGCAAATTAATCAAATAATTCAGATATCTAATTCTGTGGTTTATGATAGCTACAGCGCTAGCTCACCTATCTTTTTAAAAGATAAGCTTGTCTTTCTTAAAAAATTAACTTGTAAAAAGTATTATGTATACCATTTCGAGTAAAAGCCAATCGCAATGTGATTCATAAGTGTTGTCAGATACTGTTATAATAAAAATACTTACTTAAAAGTGTTTTAAACACTTCCTTATGAAACATATTCATATACATTTTGCCTGATGTCTACATGGACTGATACTTACTTCGTTTATACGTTCGCTACTCTTCCATGAATTATGATTTTTAGATTTAGAACAAAAAAAAAAAAGAGGAATAGACATTTTAATGCGATAAAGATTTTCAAAATTTAAGATTAAAAAAGGATAGTGGAAATCTTTAAAGCATGCATTTTGTTTATCCCTCGATTTTGGTCCATTTAATTTTTTTCTCTGAATCATTATTCATGGAAGAGTGACAAAGACTCGAAAAAAGTATTCTGTGCCCACATATCGTAACCTATTTATTCCTTCTTAAAGATACATGTACAGAACACAAACAAAAAAACCCCGATGCATTGATTGCTATATTTTGATTGTAATGACGTAAATATTAAGTCACTAATATATTTGGAAATTTTAAGTTTTATTTGGTGCAGGAATATGCGACTTTTTCTATTTTCCACCGTGTAAATCTATTTAAAAAATGTAAATTAAAAATAATAATGAAATAAAAAAAATCAATTATAAAATCTTAAGTCAGTTTCATACTTTACCTGGTAAACATTATTCAGTTATCTATATGAACATAAATCTATGAGATAAATTGCTGATTTCTGAAAAACATGTTTTATTTATCCTCAATCTGTTAATATTATTGTGACTTTGGATATATCTTATTATTTTAGACGACGTAAGATGCATCCACAAAAAATTATACAGCCATATACAGCTTATTGATTTCTTAAAACAATGTATTTTAAAAAAACTTAAGTGGGCAGTTCACAAAAAACTTTAAAATGTTACGGTTATATATATATATATATATATATATATATATATATATATATATATATATATATATGTGTGTGTGTGTGTGTGTGTGTGTGTGTGTGTGTGTGAGGGTGTGTGTGTGTGTGTGTGAGGGTGTGTGTGGGTGTGAGGGGGTGTGTGTGTAAAAGACCATTATTATTATTAGGGGAGAATCTTGCTGATTCAATTTCCTAGAAATGTCCTTGAAAACTCACCTTTTCAATAATAAAATCGGGACCAGGACATTTCATAATTGATTGTGCTAGTGAGTGCATCCATAGTGGATTAAAGTCTATTATAGATTCCATTTTTAGTAACACTTGCTAATGCAATTTCATTCAAATCATATCCATAAACTATATGAGCTTACAGGTAGGTGAGCTTGAGATAAAAGGTACCACAGAGTCTGACACATCTGTTTCATATTTGGATATTTTATTAGAAAAAGACGTTAATGGTAATCTAACAACCAAGCTCTATAATAAACGTGATGACTTTAACTTTTCAATCGTCTCCTTCCCTTACTTATGTAGCAATATACCCTTATCACCTGCATACTGGGTTTAAATCTCTTAGTTGATTCGATACGCCAGAACATGCTCTACGAATGAACAATTTCTAAAACGAGGTAAATTATTGACAAACAAGTTGATGAAACAAGAATATCAACAGTCTCGTTTAAAGTCATCATTTCGTAAGTTCTATGGTCGATACAATGACCTTGTCAGCAAATACAATCTATCATTAAGTCAAATGCTGACTGACTTTTTTTCATACTATTTATTAGACCATTATTTACACACTGAATTGTCGACGGATTTTTTGTTGTTGTTATTTCTCGATCATGACAAGGAGCACACGGCGGGTGTGACCGGTCGGCTGAGGATGCTCACTCCTCCATGGCACCTGATCCCACCTCTGAAGTTTTAGAGGTCCGTGTTTGTTCTGCTCTTATTTTGTATTGTTTGATGGACTTCTGAGCTCGAATACTGTTCGTTATCTCCACATATTTTTTGAATCAAATCTATATAAAACATTTACCTAGACTAATTATTGCTTGCTTCTTTGAGAGCTCTAAACAGAGCTTTTAAATGTTATTATGAATAACTGGATTTCATAAACTTAATATTTGTATGAGGTCTCCAAAACTTTCCATATAGAAAAAATTGACAATGTTGTGTGTAAACTCAAATGTCGTGTATTTTCCTTGAAGTTGTACAAAAAATCTTGTTACAAAATTGATTTTATTATTTAGATAAACCTTAGTTAATATACAAACTTGGCAAATGATTTAAAATAGTAAAAATATATTTTTGAAACACACAGAAGTTTGTAAACTTTAAAACATCAATCGGTAAGGACAAAGTTTTTTTTCTTATTGTTTACAATTTTTTGCTCCAAAAATATGAGTAGGTGGTCTAAAAAATACTAAAAATAAAAATAATTTAGAACGCTGCTGACTTCGTTTTGCAGTATCACTGATTTGAATAAAAAATACTATGCATCGAGTGAATTTTTCTAGTTTGACATGACATATTATTATTAACAGTAAACTGCTTCCGCTAAAATTAAAATGTTGTCCTTGTTGTATGTATGGACAGGTACCACAACGCGGATCCTGGCACTTGGTCACATGAAATTCTGTCGGTTCTTTAAAAGAGGACTTAGAATTCGCTTGAGATTCTTTGGCTGCCTCCTACTGTTTATGAATTTAATTTTCTATTTTCAAATATTTTAAACATAGTTTCACCGGTTTTCAAAACGTCGTAGAGGGGATAAACAATTGGTGCAACATTTTTATTTTATGAATTATGAGTCGTTCAGGCGCGGATCCAGGAACTTTTAACCGAAAGGGGGGGGGGGGTTCCACCCCAAAACAAACAAACAAACTTAAAACTCTTTTCCCAAATGTGAAAAACCTATTTCGTTGGGTGAGGTGGGAGGGCGTAGCTGCTCACCTCTTAAGCTTCATTTGTATGACTTTTCATACCAACTTAACAGGGGTTTTCATACCAACTTAAAAGGGGTCAACGTTTTCTAGGGGGTCCAAGGTCACTTTTAGTTGCTTGAGTAAATATATTTTTTAACTCTGCAAATTCAGTGGGGAGGGTCTATTTTTCATTAGCATTATCAATAATTTTGTCGGGATAGCTTTGTTTCCGTAGATATTCTTTCAGCTCTTGTAGTCTTTGTATTCTGGTTGATTTATTATTAATGATGGTGCACATTCTTCTCGCTAAATTATAAGGTATAGCTCTTTTCATATGTCGTGGAAGGCACGAATGAAAATGAAGATACTGATGCGTATCTGTAGGTTTGTAATATATATCTGTCAAAATGACGTCGGTTTCCTTGATTAGCAAAATAATTAAGAAATGGAATTTTATCTGTACTTTCTTCCGCTGTAAATCTTATATCAGGAGTTCATTCATTAATGCTTTAAAACTAGACAGTTAATTCGTTGTCGCTGAATTTCCATACAATAAAACAATCGTCCAGATATCTTTTTCCAGCAATTAGTTTAATATCGATCGGGATTGGCCAAAATTAAAAAAAAAATAATTTCTCTAAAATTTCGCAATTTCATTGCAATTTCTTTTCAAATATGATTATCTAACACAAATAATGTGTTTCATTTTCATAGATAATTCTTTTTTTTTTTTTTTATTTTTTTTTTTTTACAAAATTAAAATGACTATCCAACCTTTCTTTACATATCTTATTAGACATTCATATTATACATTTATTAACAGCAAATTTAAACCATAAAGCATCTTATTTGCAAATAAAACATTTTTTTTCATTTTCTCTGAAAAAATACAAAAATAAAAATCGTATGAAATAATTAAGAGCTGATATCGGTCTTTCAATGCTAAAACCACAGTTCAAAAGCGATGTCTTAAAGATCTATTAAATAAAATTCTAGTGTGGCATTCCTCATTAATTAATTAAATGTTGTTTGTGAGACATTAAATAATTTGCCTCAGAATAAGGCCATTCCAAGTTTTTTTTTTCTATGTTTAGCGTCCGCGTGCGCCTTGCTTTTTGAAACCCAATATCAGGAAAAACTAACAAAATCGGAGTCTTGAAATTGATTATTCTGGTCGATATCTCTCTAAATATTTGTCTCAAATATGTCATATTAAGTATATTCTAAGCATTTAATACGTTGATTTTGCTAAAGAACAGATCCTTCTACGAGAAAATAGATTAATGAAATGAAATTCTTTAAATAACGTCATTTCTATAACTTTAATGTTTGTGTTTTGTTTTAGCTTGTGTATTTTGTGCGAATAGGTAGGTAGTTTTTTAAAGATGGGTGGACGGTAAACAGAGAAAAACCTTGTAATGGCATACATATAATAACAACAAAAACCGCAAAATAAGAATGCACTTAAATCATTGTCGAATGATGAATCCATTGCTATTACAGTAATAAAAGAAGCAGACAAAGGTAATGCGGTTGTAATCAAGGATTCTAATTTTACGAGTTGATGG